TATGATTAGTATTTAAGCATGAATCCCCATCTTACAAAGGAAAAAATCATAGTACATTCACATATCTTATCAAGAACACAAGGATGCCTACGATTCACTCCCATGGCTAAATGTAATATGGGTTAATGAAAACTCAGGAAATGACTACAAAAAATATATGCTCCTCCACTGAGAACGGTAGAGTGCATGGAGGATAAATTTGCAAAGACATGATAATATTATTCACTGTCACAAAAACACATAAAATGAAGCAACAAAAAAGGATAATTTATGAGTTTCACCCCGGCATAGATTCTTCATTAATACTTGCAGCACCTCAATAATAAAAATTTAGGAGGTAAAATAGAAGTTGAAGGCATGATCACAACCTAAAATAGATGACACAATAATCAATAAAAATATTTAGTTTGAGGTTCAACACTTCAATGATGCATTAACTGAATAAATGTTTCTGGAAGCAGACCATACCTCAAGGTAAAGATGAATGTTCTGGTACTTGGATTCAAGAAGATGCATACTTAAACTGGAAGCACTTCCAAAACTTCCTTCGGTGTCTTCTTTGTATCATTATGTAGCATGACTGTCTACTTTATTAGCCTAACAGAACTGCTTAAGTTGGCTGAGTAACATGCACATAAATAAATCAGAAAAAGAATAAGTATTATTAGGAGATGAGCAATGTGTCGTAAAAAGAAAAGATATATAGCTCCTGAGCAGACGTCTCTTTTTTACTTCACTCCAAATAGCTGCACACCATATTTGAAGAATGTAACACTCCCTCCGATTCAGCTTAATTGATGCTGAGTTAATTAATTCGGATCAGAGGGAGTATGAGTTTATATCTAAACAAATAGGGAAACTTCAGGTGAGATTGTTTCATTCTAAAATAAAGGTAGAAGCATATTTCCATGAGGTGAACACACACAACTCTCAAGCAAGTGCATATTATTCTCTAATAAATGGTATTTATTTCCTAAGGTTTTTTGGTTTCTTTAATATTGTTGCTTATGGTGATCTCTTCCCCTACCAATTTTCTCTCTTAATTGTTGGTCCCGTTGTCCTAATGTCAATATTTTATCTCGTTCAGAACCAGCTTGTATAGAAAGGTAATCAAGGTACAGTATAGGAGAAGTCAAACGTGTTCCCCGAAGATGTAATGTACATGAGTTTGGATTAACAGAGCCGACAACAAGGAGAAGCAGTTACAACAAACGAAACACAAGTTGAAAGCATCCAGGCTGCTTTATACAAACAAGTCACATAACCTGAACTCAACTCCAATCTCTGACCAGAACTGTTGGTGTGCGCTTAAATTTTTAGAAGTCATGAACTTGAGCTCTTGAAGGACCAAAACATTGGGCTCGACGCTGACCTGAATCATATGTGTGTTAGACACAACAGTGCGTAGATTACATACATTACCTATCCACTTAATCCGCAACACAGTCTGATAGCAATCAAGCTATTTTCTCTAGTAATACAGTATACGACAAATCGTTTTCAGGTTCAGGCATCAACCCAGTAGAAGCTTTTTAAGGTTCAGACAAATTTGCAAGATAATAGTGAAGAAGAAAGTAAGACAAGTAGTTGCACGATAAGGATTTGTAGCATGCGCCCCAATGCCGGTTTCAACATGTGGTCCACCGACCTATGGACTGAACAAAAGAACATCGTGCCTACAACAATATGGAGCTAACGTATACTAAATAATACGGTGTTGATCAAACATTGGTACGGGTACAAAAAGCATGCACGACTAAAAGCTAATTTGGAAAAGGCATGACCAGAAAAGTAGGAACCACAAGACTATGTGCGAAAATTCATCTCAATTGCAGTGGAGCTTGAACAAGAGTTCCTGGGGGTAAAAGAGAAGTGAAAAGAAATGTTTTTAGAGGTTAATAGCTGGACCAATAATAACTTGGAAAAGGAAAATTAATCAAACTTCAATAGCAAGACTATTAATCTATACTTGGACTGCAGTTGCCAATGTAAACGAACCTCTTCAAAAAGTGAAAGCTGCTCTTTCTAAGACACATGAAAACTCAAGAATTCAAATGAAACCAATGTGCTACCTGTGTAGCTATATGAGCAGATGGGTATTTTGCTACAGGAGCAGTGTTCTTGAAAAGCCAATGGTCAGTACCTTGTTATATGAACTAAAAATAATACGTTGAGTTGCAAATGTTTGAAATCAAGGCCTGAGAGTCGCAACTCGCAAGGAGAAGAAGCATTTGTAAAATCGTATTGTCCTAAATGCAGGCAATTGTCTGATGTGTTTTCCTTTTCTTAAACGGATTACTGAACAGAGATACCAATTGTCTTAAATGTGACAGATAGTATGAAGCTTGACACTATTAATGCAGGTAGGATTTCTATGCTTACCCTGACGCATAACTCCTAAGGTTTGAAACGGAGCAGCGACGTGCTCATGTCGTTGGATAGGTCGTCGACGGCCTGCGACTACTGGGCGTCGCGGCCTCCTAGCGGCCTAGGCCAGCCGCCACTGCCTCGTCGTGCGGCGTGTAAGGAACGGATCCATCGGCTGCTTCGCTGCAGTACTGAAACCCTATATGTGAACGAGGGAGTGCTGGAGCACAGCCTACTGGGAGAAGATGTGTGGAGCGATGGTAGGGAGATAAGGGCATCTCCAGCCGCGCCCAGGGAGGCCTCCCCAGGCGTTTTTTTTGTGCCGGCGCCGAAAAAACGGCCTAGTCGTGCCCCCAGGAGCCCGATTTTCGCCGTCCTGGGCCGAAAACAGCGCCGGCGGACCCAGGCCGAACCCGGCGCGCTGGGGGGCACCCGGGGCCGCCGGGGCGAACTGTTTTGGCGCGAAAAAGC